TGAAGTTTACTTAGGGATCAAACATTAACCCTTATAATAAAGCCAACCCCTGTCATACTTCCATGAATAAAAAAGCTGACATCTTTATGTCTCTGTCTTAGTTACATTCTTGTCCCTGGGACACAATAACTGATAGTGTAATTTAAAGAAGGAAAAATTTATTTTGGCTGACACTTGTAGAGGCTTCAGTCCTTAGCTGGCTGGCTCAAAGGCTGGGTGTGGGGTGGAGGAGACTGGCTCATAGCATGGCCAACAGGAAGCAGAATGAGATGAAGGGAGGGATGGAGAATATATGGTATTCCAGGACATGCCTAGAGTGACCCACGGGGACCCTAGGGACCCTGTGGGTGGCCCGCTTCTTCCCACCAAGCTTTACCTCCCACGATCATACCTCCCTATAAGCCATCAGTGGCCAACCCAATTCCACATGCCCATATCACGTGACCTCCCAAAAGAAACCTTGCACCTTGTAGCTGTCTTTCATCATTCTCCCCAACTCTTCCCATAGGCAAACAGGAATCACCTTTCTATTACTATAGATTGTCTCTTGCAGACATTTCATATTAATACAACCATGCTTCACATGCTATTTTGTGGCTGGCTTCATTTAGTGTTAGGATTTGGATCTTAAAAGTCTGCCTGGGGCCAGGGGAGATAGCTCAGTGGCATAAGTGGCTACCTGGCAAATGCAAGGCCCTGAGTTCAATCCCCAATACTGCAAATAAATAAATGAATGTTTGCCTAAAGACTCATGTGCTCAAGGCTTTGTTGCCAATCTGTGGTGCTATTGAGAAATGGTGAAACATTTAGGAGGTGGGGCTTAGTGGGAGGAAGTTAGGTCATGGAGGCATGGCCTTGACCAGATATTGGGAATGCTTGTGCTTCTTGCAGTGAGTTGAATAGTCTTGCCCTATCTCATGCCCCCATTACCATTGTGTACTTTGCCAACTCAGGCCCAAAGCAATAGCTCACAAGAACTGAAAGCTGTGAACCAAAATAAACCATTCTTCCTTGCAAATTGTTTTGTAGTAAGGTACTATATTTTGTCACAGTAATGGAAGTCTGAGTAACACACTTGGTATACTTCCTTTTAACATATTTGGTTGTTACAGGGTCTTACTATGCAGGTTGGACTCATGTTGATCCTTCTGTTTTCAGCTTCCCCAGACCTGGGATTACAGGCTTCCGCCACTATGTGTGAACTCTGGCCCGCTCAGCCTGCCCTAGCGGAGGGGCTGGTGTGGCATGTGGTGCCAGGGATCAAACCACAGTCACTGAGCTTAACTGCAGTCACTTATTTAAACAGGTGCTTTTGTTTGCTGAGCTACCTTGCCAGCCATTAGTATGATACTTTCAACATTTATCTATGTCATAATATCATTTCATTCCTTTTTTAGGGGGCCATACTGGGAATTGAACTCAGTACCTTGTGCTTGCCAGGCAAGCACTGTGCCTTTGAGCTATATCCCCAGTCCCAATGTACTCATTTCTTTTTCTGAAATGCCAATAATATTCTACTGTATGGACATACCATATTTTATTATTCTTCCATTAGTTGATGGAAAGTTTTTTTAATTTTATGAATGCTACAATATTTGTATGGATCTATATTCTCATTTCTCTTAAATATAGCCCTAAAAATAAAATCACTAAGACGTGTGATAATCCTTTGAACTTTTTTTTTTTTTTTTTAAACTTTTTCAGGAAATGCCAGACTTGTACTCAGGAGCTGAGGTGTGAGGAGTGCCAGGATGTGCTATACTGTGAATGCCAGAAACACTACTTCAAAAACAGAAAACCCCAAAACAAAACAAACTGTTAGACTTTTTCCCACAACAGCACTACTGTCCATCACTAACAGTGACACACAGGCATTCCAATTTCTGTCTCTCTGACACCTGTTGTCTGTCCATTACAGCTGCATCCAGATGTCACCTCAAGGCCTCATGTACGTGTAGGTGGGGCTTCTGGAGGTCATGGATCACGCGGCTGTGATGCCGGGAGCCAGTCCACTGCTGGGCTGGTAGCTAGGTGGGATGCTGAGAGGTGGAGCCTGGTGGGGGAGGTGCAACACTGGGCTTCCGGGATCCAGCTTTGTTCCTCCTGCCTTGGGGGCCTGCTGCTTCTTCCCTGCCATGTGGAGGGCTGCTTTCCCTCTGCGGTACCCCTCTACCATGCTGTGTTGCCTTGGGACCATGACTATGGACTGAAATCTTAACAAACCGTGAGTCAAAATAAACCTCTCCTCTAACTTGTGGGTGTTAGGTATTTGTCTCAGTACTGAGAAAGTAACTAAGACGCTGTCTTTTTGGTTATAATACTGAATTTTTTTAAGGTCAGTAGACAAAGGCAGCTAGAGATCTTAAGACATCTCTTCTAACTTTGCAAGCTAGTTCTTGGTCTAGTTATCAAGTATTCCAAAGGCATTCACTAAACATATTTTATATAATTGTTTTGTGTGTGTGGTGCTGGGAGTTGAACTCAGGGCCTTGGACATTTTAAGCAAGTGCTCTATCACTGAGTGACACTCCTTTCTCCTATATGTGTAAATACATGGTGGAGAATTCCATTTGTACATTGCTTTCAGAATGAACTTGCAAGTTACTCAGCTCAGCTCACAATAATCCCATGACATAGGAAGAGTGAGATTATGATTCCTGTTATAGAATGGAAAAAATAAGAGAAAGTTTAGGTCACAAGGAAAAGTCTGGAGTTCTGGTGTCCCACCTTTATGCAATATAATCTTCGTAGTCAGAGACTGGTTCTTAGGATCACTTATCACTCCCACATTAGTTAATGCTCAGAAAAGAATGTTAAGTGCTATCAAAAGAGCTTAGTTTTTAAATTTATTTATTTTTTAAAAAGCAATGCTCAGTGGAAGCTGAAGGGTCTAAGGGCTAAGTGCTTTAGCTGCTCGGAGACTGCTAATTACGGTTCTGACATAATCCTGGGCACAGGCAGCACACAGGGTTCCCCAGAATCCTTGGACTTCTGACTTGAGCCAATAGATTCTTCAGCTTTGAAGCAGAACTGGTAGCTGAACATTCACTGGGCTAGAAAATTTAGGGATCTTCGAAGGCACTGTAAATCAAGTGAGGGCTGCCTATTTTGGCTTAGTTTCATTATCTGAGAAACAGCTGGAAAGAAAGGGAGGTAGCTGAATGATGCTTTCAGTTTTTGTGATACTGGAGAGGGAACCTGAGGCTTTCCCACAGCACTATTCCCAGCTTTTCTTTTGAGAGGTGGTCTAAGGTGCAAAGCAGCCAGGTCTGGACTGGCATGTTTGACTCTCCTGACTCACCTCCCAGAGTGCTGGGATTACGGTGTATGTCACCAGGCCAGGCTCTAGAGATCATAATTTTCTTACAATATTAAATAAAAAACATCTTTTATTTTGTGACAGAAGATGCAAACACATGACATATCAAGAAAATAGGGTATAAGCCTTCCATTCTTTGACTCAAAATTATCAACATTTTGCAGTCCTTTTGCCCCTTTTTATTATAGTTGTTTTTTTTTTTTTTTTTTTTTTTTTTTTTTTTTTTTTTTTTTTTTTTTTTTTAAACAAAGTCTTGCCATGTAGTTCAGCCTGGCCTTAAACTATATAGTTCGGGTTCATCTCAAACTTGAGGTGACCCTCCTGTCTCTGTCTTCTGAGCGCCGGGATTACAGACATGCACCACCATGCTTGGCTTTATTATAATTTAAGAGATAGGGCCTATCTGTGTTGCCTAAGATGGCCTTAAATCTTGGGCTCAAGAGATCCTGAGACCTCAGTCCCCACCCTACACCAATAGCTTGGACTACTGGCCCTGTACAAGTATGTTTTACATAAATGTTTGTATACAGTTATTTATTTGTTTTTGAGACAGGGTCTTGCTTTGTAATTCAGGTTGGTCTTAAATTCACTGTGTATCCCAGGCTAGCTTCAAACTTGTGGTCATCCTCCTGCCTCAACCTTCCCACTGCTGGGATTATACATATGTGCCACCACACCCAGACACATAACGCTTTTTAAAAAATCACTATTAACCATGCCAGCTCAGCAAAGGTACAAGGAAAATGATCAAAGTAATAAGTGATCTGTTTACTATGAGCACCATGAATTTGTAGCCTCTGACCTTTATTAACTTAAAACTGAGCTAGAAAGCTAGCCACACACATAAAAGGATGTATGAGTGGGAGTCCAAAAGCTAGGAGCAAGATTTTGCTGATTCTTTCCTGGAACCCTTCATTCGGCCAGTGCACCGCGGGCACGGACCTCATTTCCAGGCTGACTTGAGCATAAATCAGGTTTCATCGTTAGCAACCTTCAGGCCCTGGACAAGCTGAGTCTCGGTTTCTGTTTCTAGAAAATAAAGATAAGCTTAAAAAGCCAAGTGAGGTACCGGGAACATGTATTTATAACCGGGTCCTGTGTATTGGCTCTCTTTGCCTCTTACTCTGCCAGGATCCGGCAGGCAGCCTCTGTTCCTCCTGCCTTCCAAGTGAGCGGGCAGCCAAACCTTCCCAGAGGCCTGCCAGATGCCAAATGCCCCACCCGTGTTTCCCCAAATCACCTAAATCCCAATCTCACGTTCTGCGCCCGTTTTACGGTCTTGCAGCTCCGCAGAGCTTCTGCGCCAGTTGCGGCCGTAGCCCGCGCTTAAACGCGCGGCCCGCAGGCGGGAGAAATTGCCCAGCACCCGGTGTGGTCCGGATGAGACCCACGCGCCCGGGGCAGCAATCCCGGAGTCTGCAGAGAACCGGCGTCGCGAGGTGGTTCCAAGCAGCTGGGCGGGCGGAGCCGGCACCACTCCCGCCACCTTTCTGGGTCTGTGCCCGGGCGCTGATCCCTAACTTCTGCAAAGTTCGCTGCCGGCTCGCAGCACGTGGGCGCCTCGGAGCCTGGCCTGCGAGCCTGCAGGTCCCGGGGGAGGGAGGCGGCGGCCGTTACCCGGCCAACCAGGCGGCCGGGGAGGCGGGGACGGGGCGTGCCGGAAGCGGCTGTTCTTGGCTCTTAGCAGAGCCGACCGCGCGGCCCGGGCACCGGCATCCTCAGCGCGCCTCCCTCCCAGGCAGCGAGCCCGGCCGTTCGGCACGATGCTCCCGGTGCAGCAGGAGCTGAAGCCCAACCCGCTGCAGGACGCCAGCCTCTGCTCGCGCGTGTTCTTCTGGTGAGTGCTCCGTGTACCGGGGGGGAGGCGCGTCCTCGGCGCCACCCGGCTTCCTATGGCCCCTCACGCCCCGGGAAGGGACGCGGGCACCGGGCGGCGGCTCCCGGGCGAGGGCGAGGACGAGCCGCCGGGAGGCGGAACCATGCTGTGTGGCGACCGCCTGCATCCCGCAGTGGCGCCCGCCGCGCGCGCGCGCGGTGGGGGGATTGTTTCATTTTAAGAAAGCGGCTCGGAGTCGCTACCTTCACCCAATCGCAGCCGAAGGATAACGCGGGCGTCCTGAGCCGGTGCCCCCTCCCAGTAATGTCCGCACCCCTCTTGATATTCTTTACCCGGCATCTTCCAGCCTACCGGCTTCCGCTGTGTGTGTTCGCGTGTGCGTGTGTGCGCGCGCGTGTAATATGTCCCTTTGTTATTTTTCTTGTCTCAGTGAGGACACTTCTTGAGCGAGATCTGCCTCCACGTTGTGGTTTTGAGTGGGAATCGGACAACCATGTAGGAGTGCGTTTCTGCCCAGCCCGAGCCCCCCTGGGTGGAATTTCCATTTGCACCGTGGGTGATTCCTGGGGAGGGGGTGTCTTAATGGGATCTCTAAGCTTGTCGGAGGAAACAGGTGAAAAAGTCTTACATAAGTGACCCCTGACGGCCGGGCGTGGTGGCGCACGCCTGTAGAGCAGCGCTGGTCCAGCTGAGGCGGGAGGATCGCCTTGAGTTCCGGCCAGCTCCGGCTACACAGTGACTTCAGGCTAGCCGGTTTTAATTGTGATGCGTTCAGGACCTGTTCTTGGTCGGCCCACTTAGAAAGTGGTTAACGTGAAAAGTAACTAACAGTAAGTGAACCGCCTCCCGCGGCTTTAGGTGAGGCACAAAACTTGATGCACTTCGTGTCTGTGGATTTTCAGAGTGAAGGTGCAGGGAAAGCGGAGGTGTAGGGTGGCGCATGCCTGTAGTGTTTACTTTTGGAAGGCCAAGGCAGGAAGATCACAAAGTTTGAAACCAGCTTGAGATACAAAGCAAGGCTCTGTCTCAAAAACAAAGCAAAACGACAACAAAAAACAAATGCCCCCCCAAAGGAAATTCAGGGAAATGGGAAAGCGTGCTGACTTCTCCTGGATGACTTGGGTGGAGCCCATGTGTATTTCATAGCTGGAGGGGAAGGAGCTATTATCACTGATTTTACACTTGAGGACACTGTGGCTGAGATACTCTGTTTTAAGTTGCTTGGGGTCATGGAGCCAGTCAGATTCTGAACACTCTCTATCCCCGGGCAGGCCTGGCTCCAGAGCCAGCCTGTGTGCTGAGCCACTTGCTTTCTGCTTTAGCGGGGAAGATTGTTCAGAAAGCAGGAGGGCGAGGCTGGCGTTTCTCAAGGGCCAGTCTGAGAACGCTGGCTGCTCGGGAATCAGCGTTAGCGTCTCGGCGAACTTGGCAGTGATGCACGATCTTCGGCACCTGCTGCAGACCTGTTCAGCCCTGGGGCCACGAGGGCACGTGCGTGACCTCCTGAGTGTCCACAGGTGCTCCAGACGACGCTTCTGTGGGAGGAGGCCGGCTCAGGGTTTCAAGCCGCTTTTCTTGTTGGCTTTGCTGTCCTATATTAAAAGAGGGGCGTGGCTGAGGTCTGCTATGCGCTATGCACAGTGATGCCCATCCTTGTTTATTTACTTTCTCATCTTACTAGGGATTGAACCCTGGGGCCTTATACTGAACTGCACCTTCAGACTTGTTTTAGAATTTTATTTTGAGATAGGGCTCCCTATGGATAAATTGCCCAGGTTGGCCTTGAATGGATGGTTCTCCCGCCTCAGGCTGTCGGGGAATATCTGGAATTAACAGGCCCGGGCTACCATGCTGACTCAGTTTCCAGAATTTTAAAGCTGGAGGCTCCTTGGTGATGACCTTGTGTTCCTCTCTTGTGGGAGTGGGATGGGAGCCCAGCCAGGAAGTAGCCTCTGGGTACCAGGTCTACCTTGTGAAGAAAAGCTGAAATTTTACCTCCTTTTCGATTGCCTGCTTTTTCTCAGATTTCATTGAATTTGGACCGTACACTATGGCTACTGATGTTTGTGAATTTAAAAAAATGAAACAAAACAAAACAGTATCTTTGTTTTCTATTTCTGCAAGAAGTTTTAAACCACAGGAACAGAGGAGAAGACAGTGTATTTGCTTCAGCCAGGTATACCTGCTGGTATTTTAATTGTTTCTTCATCTTCCCCCTGAATTTTTTTTTTTTTTTTTAAAGCAAATTCTTGTTTTGTGGTTCAGGCTAGCCTGGAAGTGGCAGTGATCCTCCTGCCTCAGCCTCTAGTGCTGGGATTACAGGCATGTGCCACCGTGCCCAGGCCCCCAAGCGCGCACATATTTGCATGTGCCCCATATACACGAACTTTTTATAAAACTGTAAACAGTTTGAAATCTTCATTCCTTCTTAATTTTTGATGGTTAACTTGTTGAACCCCACTTATTTCCACTGATTACATCATGCATAACCATGCCTCTTTCTTTTCCTGCAGTTTTTGTTTGTTTGCTTTCGGTGCTGGAGACTGAACTGAGGATGTGGTAAACAAGCAGCATCCCCCCCTTCTTAATCCCAGGGTCATCTAAATTTCCACGTACATTTTCTCTTATTTTGTTTCATTTCTTACAGTAGATGTGAGAATTTCTTTTCATACTGATTCTAAAATAGCCCCTATCTTTTTCCAAAATAGCACATTTTCCCCATTACTGTTGATTGACTGGAATCAAGGGGAGCAGCTTGTAATCTGTGTCCAGCTGGGCACAAGGCTGTCCGAGTCTTGGAGCCTCACAGGGACTGTCTTGCTCCCTTCCTGTTCCCTGGTGATGCCCGGTTGCCCTCTGCCCGCTGCCCAGCAAGCCTCCTGGGTGCGCTTAGTGCCCTTGTGCCAGACCTGAGTCTGAAGAGGTCAGTGGAGAGCAGCCGGTGAAGGTTAATAGTGAAGGAGCTCCGCCAGATGTGGGTTGGGGATCCTGGGTCCAAATGTGTTTGGGCCACAGAATGTGGCTGAACCCTGCTGCCTTGTGGTCAGCTGTGGCTCTCTTGGTGAAACATCACCTTGTAAAGCCTGTGTTGTTGTTGAATCTGCCTCTGATGACAGGAGTCTCTCTGGGGACTTGTTTTAGCGAAGGCTGAGGATATAAGGGTAGAAACGTGGCCAGCTGAGAGGAATTGGCGATGGGAAGCCTTTACTCAGCATGAAGAAGTCTTTCAATTGTATGGCTTTGGTACCATTTGGGGATATCTCTTAAGAATCTGCCTTTATTCTTTAATAACAGAGGTCCAGATGTTGTAGATGAAAGCTGGGTGACTTCCCAGAGGAGGTGGTTCATTAATGGTCAACCCGAGTGGGGCAGCCAGCGGGTGAATTAGTAGAGCTCTGGGGAGCCACGGGCAAGGACCTTCCCCAAGCTGTTTTCTGGGGAGGAGCTCTAGCGCTTGCCTTGGGTCTACTGGCCCCTGGGCGTGGACACTTTGGCCAGGAGCTCTGGTTTTTACCTTTGCCTTGGGCATTGCCCTGGGCCTCATTTCCTGCTTCTCCACTTGGATTCATCCCATTCCAGTGTGACCTTTTGGGGGCGCAGACTCACCAGGCTTCTGTGCCAGCCCTGGAACTTTCCAGCACAGATCCTGAAGTCTTCCATTGTGATTCCTTGGCCTCCTAGTGTGGCCTTGCATGCGACTTTGCCATGGGATCCCGGCCCTCGGCTGCATCCTTGGGTTTTTGCGCTCTTTAGCACTGACTACTAAGTGTTGACTAACCCACAGGGGCATTCTCTGCTTTGAAGTGGCTCTTTGGTCTTCCTGTTTTCAGTATTCAGGATAGAACTCAGGGCCTTTGTACTGAGCTTTGAACATCCTCAGTCTTTTTTAATTTTCAGACAGGGCCTTGCTAAGTTACTCAATTGCCCAGGCAGGGATTGAATTTGTAGTCCTCCTGTCTCAGCCTCCCACAGTGCTTAGATTGCAGGTGTGTTCTACCACATCCACCTTAGTTCCTGTCCTTTACATACTTACTTTGGTGACTTTGGCAATTCTATTTAATAATTACTGCCCCTTGCAGCTGCTGAGCACCCAGAAGGTGTAGAAAAACTCACTGCTGAATTTCTACAGTGACATAAACAACCTAACACATCTTACAAGTTTATCTCCCGTTCTTATTTTTTCCTTCATCCCTGTAGTCTGCATCTGGTCCAAATGAGAGGTTAACCAGTCTCCATTCTTCTCTGTGTCAGGTGGATACTTTGCCTGTGTCCCCCTTTGTTCTGGGCCAAGACTGGTCCGCTGATGCAGGGCACCACGGGGATTGTGAGTTCTCCCCGCAAGTCTCTTGTGAAATGCTTTTACGGATCAGAGAACCCCGTCGCTACAAGATGCTGCAGGTGCTGCCATGCGTTTCCTCCCGCAGGCCGTTCTGTGACTGTACTGTGTGTACCGATAGTGGGCCCAGGAGTGCGTGGGCGGAGCTGAGCTTTGACATCAGGCACATCAGGTGCTGTGCAGGCAGACTCCATGCAGCCATCCCTCTGGGACCCGGGCTCGTCCACCTCAGTCCTTTCTTTTTTTTTTTTTTGCGGAACCGGGGATTGCCCTTGTACTTGCCAGGGAAGTGCTTATTCCACTGAGCCATCTCCCCGGCTCCACTTCAGTCCTTTCAGAGATGAGGACTGAGGCTGCAGAAATGATGGCAAGGGGGTGCCTGATGACAGCGTTCCAACCTCACAGATTTTTGTCATTAGCATTTACTTATTTATGAGAGCGAATACCAGGAAGTTTGTAGGGAGCAAGGTAAATTTGTGCCCTCCAGAGGTGGGAAGATGCATTTTAGACCCATTTAGAGGTTAATTATTTAAGATATCTTTTTAAAAAATCATTTATTTATTTGTTTATTTGGTACAGTCTTGCTATGCAGTTTGGACTCATAGTGATCCTCCTGTCTCAGCCTCCCCAGTGCTGGGATTACAGGCTTATGCCGCCTTGCCCA